TTTGAGACAGATTCTCACTCTGTTGCCTGGGCTAGAGTGCCGTTGTGTCAGCCTAGCTCACAGCAACCTCAAACTCCTGGGCTACAGTGATCCCCCTGCCTCAGCCTCCTGAGTAGCTGGGACTACAAGCATGTGCCACCATGCCCGGCTAATATTTTCTGTATGTATGTATATTTTTAGTTGTCCAGATCATTTGTTTCTATTTTTTTTAGTAGAGGCGGGATCTCACTCTTGCTCAGGCTGGTCTTGAACTCCTGATCTCGAGCGGTCCTCCCGCCTCGGCCTCCCAGAGTGCTAGGATTACAGGCATGAGCCACCGCGCCTGGCCAGATTAATGCACTTTTAAATGGTCTATTATTTTCCAGAAGTAGGTTTCGGAAATATCGTCTATGATTTTGCTTCCGCGAAAGCTTGGAATGTAAAATTACAACAAATTTTTTTGAGGGGATCTACATTAAATGTTCAAACTTAGAATTATGTGGGTTTTAATGATCTACTCTTCAATTTTTTAATACTCCTTTCAATTATGTTAATTGTTTGGAAAACATTAAATTTTGCATCGGGAGAACGGCTGGCTCCCCTCACCCTAATTCCTGAGGGCTATACAGCGCTCTGCCGTCCCTCTTCCCGGTTCCCTCCCCGGCTTGCCCTCTGCTCCTGGAATATGCCAGTCCGGCTTCCTCATTCCTTCTTTTGGGGTCAGACTCAAATGCTGCCTCTCATTAAGTATTTCCCTCACTACCTTAGTTAAAATGGCCCTCGTCACTCTCCGGCTGTTTCTGTCTCTTTTCTTCCTCATGGGGTTTTTATTTGGTAGAATAGAGACAAACACATAATAGTTGCTTAAGAAAAAAATTTGTTGAGCGAATGAATCAGGCAGCTTTTGCTTTGATGACTCCTGGGTGCCAGGCATGCGTCACCGTGCTAACCTCGAATTAGAGCGGTGCAGGTTTGTGTAGCAGTGGAGACCCTGCAGTCGAACTCCCTGATGGCAAATATCAGCTCTGCCACTTGTCGTATGACCTTGGACAAGTTATTGATTTATTGATTTTTACATTTTGTAAAACTTTTTGGCCTGGCGCGGTGACTCACACCTGTAATCCTCGCGCTCTGGGAGGCCGAGGCGGGAGGATCACTCGAGGTCAGGAGTTCAAGACCAGCCTGAGC